AGTGAAAGAACTAGGCTATAGGAGAGATAATCGAAGGTATGAAGACCAAGATGATGTGGTCTTTTGTGTGTTCGCAGTCCCCTTTCGATGTATAAAGGTTGTTTGATCTTGTTTTCGCAACTTATTCAAAGAGACTTGTCTCTTTGATGAGTTGTTTTGTGATGCTAAAAATGGCGAGACTCACTGACGATGCCGGCGAAATGTCTGGTAATGTAGCACGTCCACGGTCCGACTTTGGAAATGCTCATGCATACAATGAACTAGGTGCGTTCCCCTAAGTCTTTCTACCAAAATGACCAAATTACGAAAACAAGGTCAAATAACCTTAATAGGAGGGATAACTCAAAAAACGTAATCCAGAAGTTCAGCCCAAACTAATTCAAAGAACTAATCAACGGAACGATATGATATCAACATCCGTGAGAACCTGAAATATAACAAAGTGAAAGGTAATCTATTGTGACAAAAAGTACTAAAGTTTGCAATAAAGAATGCATTAGTTCGGCCTATAAATGCCTGGTGAAAAAAATCTGAAAGTAAAAAAAGGAGAAATGGAACCTGAGAGTACTGAGAACAGCATATAACAAAGGAATTCGTAGAAAACTGATGCATTTAAAAGGGCAAAATGGTGTGGAGAAAGAGATGGAAAATAAATATTTTATTATGCATATATATCTAAGAACGGGAATCAAGAATGTAAATGGAAAAATGTAGTAAAGATAAGTAAAATAATGTAGGTACGCATGAATAAACAAATTTGCCGAACCCAAAATCCGATGCTGTAGTAGCATGAGTGAAATGTATACATGACAAAATTGCCTAGAATAACTGAATAAAACTTTACATTTTCATAATTTTGTAACCAGATAACATTAGATATTCTCAGACTGACTCATTTTAGATGAGGATGGCAAGCAAGTGACAAGCAAAAAGTGAAGGCGACAAGAGTAAATTTGATTAAACAACTGGCATAATGGGGAAAACTGGAAAAACATTTTTTGCAAATATCTACCGAAAATTTTCAGCTGTCTTGGGGACAACATCTGCAAACAGCTCGAATTGCATCCTTCCTATCTCCTGACCGCCGATTGTGATGTCGAAAAAGACCACCGGGTTCTTCGGATTGTTCATACGCTCAGCAACCGCAGGAGGAGGGATTGCCATCGCTAGTCACAGGAAAAAAGTAAAATTTCCAACTGCTCAAATAAGTAATCAACTTTATATTCATTCATCTTAAACAACCTAAGGTAAAGCGAAACCCTCTTTTGTACCATTCCAACTTGTATTTACTGCTTACTCATATCAATAGCATATAACAGACACAATACTGAGCTGCTCCTTTGAATGGTTATCCTGATTGACAAAACAGTCTGCGCAAAGACTAAGGATCTGTGGAAGAACGAACAAATCTGGATCAGTTAAGCCTTGGGAAGCGTTGAAGATTGCCTGATGATGTGGGACTAGAGACTAGGTAAGCTGGACGGGGAGAAAAAGAGAGCTGAAACTCTCGATTTGATATAAGAGCTAAGTGTGGTATTAGGCTTTTCTGATAACCAACGCTTCGAGACTAAAAGAATACCTCATCAGAGCTCGAAATCCTCTCGACGTAAGCAGTAGGACTATTTGAAGTCTTTCCAACAGCGCTTTCCTACAGTTACCGATTCCGCAATGAGAACTAGTCTCAACGAAAGGTTCTGATCTTGATGCTCAATCAGACGAATCCCAACGACCACGGTTGTCATGGTAATGTGTCCGCATTATGTTTTGGCTACTCTGTAAGCTGTTGCATAGGCCTCGTCCCACAGCAACCGCGCCACAGACGAGCACCATGTCCAGTTGGTTTAGGTGAGGCATTCGACTGGCTCGGTTGCCTGCTTTCTGACTCTTAATAATGTTGAAGAAAATTGTAAGTAGCAACGAAGTCGTTATTGCTTCGCAGGGAGAAACAACCATCTGACTTTGGCATGTAAATGCGTGATTTGACTGTCTAAAAAAATTTAATGCTCTTTAAGATTAGCCTATTTTAATTATGTGCTTCTGGATTTGTATGCCCATTATTGGTTCATACAAGCCTAACATCGTCACTTAATGACAACAAAAAATGCTTTTTTTATACTCTTTTTCAGCTAATGGCCGTCAATCGCTTCTCAAATTTATAGTCGATCAGAAAGGCCAGAATTTATTTGCAGCTATATCCATAGTTGGTACCAGTGCTGGTACCAAATGGTCCAAGGTGTGACTGTCAAATATAAATAGACACATTGGTGAGAACGACATGAGCGGGGATGACACAAAGAAACGTCATATTCGGAGGAATGCAAGCTACAAGTTAAAAAATTTGAGTGTAAATGGAAAGGCAAACTGTTGCCAGTACCGACAGGAAGCTAATCAGAAAAGTACTTGACTTTTAGGCAGTAAAGCAAGCTCCCCACAACAGATCAAAAGTTTGGCTAATTGTATTTTAATTAGTATAGATGTCGTTAAAATCAGAAACCATATAAAGGCGTAGAAAAAAGCGGTTGACAAATCGGATCAGTAGTCGGCTGAAAAAGAATGTATAATCTTTTCACGACTTGAGAATACAGCATCTTGTCTACAAGAGGCTACGAAATCCTCAAATAGCTTTAGGGACGCTTCCCCTATTACCGATAGGTCATTGTAAAACTGTTTCTCAGTCTAAAGCACACAAGAACCCATAGTATTAGTAAGCTAAACTCGAAAGTCTGGCTGTGAGACTTTGCATTTCTCACATAATCTCACAAATTCAGGCATATAAACTTAGAAATAGGAATATTAAGAAATTCATCTAGCAAGATGATTCAGGCACAATAGAATGAGGTGAATGAAAATAGCTTCTAACCAATAGCATAAACATGATTAAAATTGTGTAACAATAGAACGAAACTTAAGAAGATGGACCAGACACAGGAGTTTTACCATCAAAAAGGACTAAGGAGCTGTTCAATAAATCCTGAATTTCCAGAAAAAAAGCAGTATGTTTATTAGTCTAAAGATATTTTCAAAATAACTAACCAGCACAGGGATTCATGCCAAATAATCAGCCAGCATAGTTCAACACAACCCAGTTGTCCTCTATGAATTTCATAACTGAGAACGCAAAGTAAAGACGAGCCAGTAGAGGCAATAATAATTCTGATGGCAAAATAGGGACCAGATAAAATTGGGTTTCAATAGAAAAGTGACACAAACAGAAGTAGAAAAGGTATGCGAAAACATTCAAGGCATAAATAATATAAAGGAGACGAGGGAGAAATTGAAACCGATGAAAGCTTCCATGACAAATACATGACATTAAATATAGTCTCTTTCACCAATATTAAAAGCTATATAATTGTATCCAATCTCATTTTAAGAGGTCAAACAACCCTGTATGGCCTCTTTTTACTTCAATCTCGCTAATATACGGATAAGTAATGATTGCATTAAAGTCGTCGGACCGACCAGCCCCACATAAATATTAAGGCGACTAGATAAATGGGCCCAATCGGAAAGCTGTCAATGATGTTTGCCAACAATAAACACACATGCCTTGAAAATGTCGGGCCAATAATGGTCTGTAAGACTTCAACAAAGCGGAATGAAAATACAACCAAAATCCGTCACTGCTAAATAATTATAAAAGTTTTAACATATAGATATAATATTGTATTAATTGAATTTATTAATCACTAAGATAAACCAGATCACATTTGTAAGTCTAAGCTGATCTGTTTCATATTGAAGCATAATGTAGCATCAAATTGGAGGCAATAAAAACCGTGAACAAACGGAGGCAAAAGTTATCTCACTGGACACTGTACGCTAAAGAAGACAGTTTCTTCTACAAGTAAGAAGAAAAGTATCTATAAAACAAGTAATCATATTTGCAAAAGACGGTCACGGTCCAAGGGTTGGACGTCACATTTTAGAATACAATATATATTTAACCATCTCGATCTGAACGCATATATCCAAGAAATATAATTTTTTTAAATCAGATATACCACCAAAAATACAAATCTGAATGTGGGGATACATCTCTTTTATCGGGTTTTTAAAAATATCATTTTAAGCAAGTAAGAGGATATTAAAAAATATATGGTAACAAATAAATGAACAAGAGCAAACCGAAATATATATATGGGAAAACGTATAAGAATCGATCATATTTAATACATTCATAAGCATTCGAAGAGTAGAACCAGTTTCTCAAAGGCATATTTACGAGTATTACGTATCTCAATATGCTAGTGACCTGTTAAGATGAGTTCCGAAATAACCAAAAGCACATGTTGGAGTACCTTCATTTCGTTTGGTTCCATCGGAGGCTGTGGGGCGTTGCCTTGGAGCTGTGATTGTAGATTTGTACAAATAGGCCCTCGGCGCACCGGCCTGAGACCCCGATGAATCCTTGCTGGGCAATCGTCCGTCATGTGACGGGGATAGTCAGAGCAAGACAACATGCTCCACGGTAATTCACCCGATACATGAAGGCTCATAAGTTGCGTTAAGCGGCTGTGGATGACATGTGAAGTGGCTACAGATGAAGCGCGAAATGGGTGCAAATAAAACCGAACAGCTGCATCCTCCCCTAAATTCTGGTTGAGAATAATTATCCAGGAGGACTGATTGACATCTATTTTAGAATATTGTCAAATAGAATGGAGGCGAATACATATTTGGGGCTAGATAAAAAGAGAGATCACACTACCAGGATCCATCGTGCAATCTGAAGAAGATGGGCGAATTACTGAGGAGGTGGGGCATCAGATTAATTTCTAGAGAGAAAATAACACTGTCCTTGGTAGTTCCTTCTTTTCGAGAATACTCCGACCCGCTCTCCAGATCGGACAGTTACAAGATTTTGTGTTCATGCAGTAGTGCCTATGTGGGTTGACACATGTATATCCACACATTAGAAGTCATCCTAACACAAAACAGCCTGCAAGGGTATGTGGGTCAAAAAATCGGAATTGGCCGAACACATGGCTCGCACAGGACATCAGATAGATTGGCACAATGCCAAACGCTTAGGTTGATATGGAGACTATACCAATAGGCGAAAGATTAGGGAGGCGATATAAATAAAAAAACAGCCAACACTCTGAATAGAAGGAAAAGATGTAGCAAGTTAAGCGGAAACTTATTGTGAATGTTGGATATGTTTAGCGAGAGACAAAGAGAGGGGGGAAACTCGAATTACCATCAAGCAAGAGAAGGCTTTATTAGGTTGGAATTTGGTTTTTACTCTCACATCACACTCATTTCAAGAGCAATGCATCCACACAACCCTTGTGCAATGGGACGCAATCACATGCGGTAACAATGCAGGATCAAATGCATAAGTGTTTAGGCGAGGATGCAGCTGTTTGGTCACAATTTCACTAATTTCACGCTTCATCTTCATTTCATATGTCATCCGCAGCCACTGAACCTAACTTATGAGCAAGCATGTAGGCAACGCATAGGACATCCAACTAAAACATGAGATGCATAAGTGGACCAAATGGAAATAGGTTTAACGTGGACCATCTTTCTTATCTTCGTGTCTTTGATGAATTATCGTTAAACATGCTGTCCTGCTCTGACGATGATCGACACATGACGGACGAAATTTCAGCAAGGATTCATCGGGGTCGCAGCGCGGTGCGCCGAAGACCTATTAGCACAAATCTACATTCGCACCTTCAAGGCGACCACCGCCCACAGCCTCCGATGGAACCAACTTACAAATCCCTTTCACTCGCCTCTCCAAACGAGATGAAAGCTACTCCAAAATGAATTTATCAAGAGATTGTACGAAACCCAGTTTTGCAATAAACCAATAGAACAATTAGGCAAGTGTAAAAAGGCGAGTCGCGAAGAGTTGATTGGAGTAGATTTTACCGAAGCTATTCAGTGTGAAAAAAACGAATGTGTTGAAATGTGCGATGTAACATGAGAAGAGATACGAAATTCTCTACGCAAGTCGTAGGCAAAGCAATGAATGCCGACTGTGATACGACAAAATATGTGATCAGCGTACAATCAATCGATACGAGCATGTGATAAACTTCTATTCAATGCATTGATATCAGAACTCG